TTAGCACTCACCCCAAAGCCATCTAGCTTACAGCATAATGGCGGAGGGGACACAGGGAGTGGAGCCGTTGGAGGAGGAGCAGTTAGAAGCTGCTGAGCAGATGGAGGTGCCAGTAGCTGGTGATACAGAGGCTCCTCAGATGGTGGTTCGACCAAAGGAGAAGCTGCAGGTTCCTGAGGCTACGGAGCATGCAGTGAAACCGCGAACAACCACAGCTTCAGACGGAGAGTGGTGGCTGAGTCCTGCATTGCGGCATCCGGAGGAGCGCGGAGACAGGGGATTGGCGCAATGAATGAAGCTTCGTTCCAGTGCTAACTTAGTTTCAACATAGTGAATAAAGCTTGTTGAATACTGCAACGTTCCTGTTTCCTGGCTTTCGTGAAGCGCAGTTAGGACGTTCTGTTAGTAAGTTAGCACTCACCCCAAAGCCATCTAGCTTACAGCATAATGGCGGAGGGGACACAGGGAGTGGAGCCGTTGGAGGAGGAGCAGTTAGAAGCTGCTGAGCAGATGGAGGTGCCAGTAGCTGGTGATACAGAGGCTCCTCAGATGGTGGTTCGACCAAAGGAGAAGCTGCAGGTTCCTGAGGCTACGGAGCATGCAGTGAAACCGCGACCAACCACAGCTTCAGACGGAGAGTGGTGGCTGAGTCCTGCATTGCGGCATCCGGAGGAGCGCGGAGACAGGGGATTGGCGCAATGAATGAAGCTTCGTTCCAGTGCTAACTTAGTTTCAACATAGTGAATAAAGCTTGTTGAATACTGCAACGTTCCTGTTTCCTGGCTTTCGTGAAGCGCAGTTAGGACGTTCTGTTAGCAAACCTATGGCACGTATGCCAGAGGCAGCACACAAAGCCCTCTCTGTCGGCATGCACGCCATGCCCTGGAGATGGCAACTGTCCCTCTTCAACCAGCCACCCGCTAACTCGCCGAGGTCCCACATGGCCGGATGCATCCCAGCACCCATGCGCTCACTGGCCTCTGTGTGTAGGGGCAGATGGTGTCAGGCAGCAGCCACCCCGGCCCCTGCCTCACCTTTTCCTGTGACAATGGCACCCCCACTCTGCCTTGCCTTGCCTCACCTCACCCTGCAGGACGAGCCTTCTGCCCACCGCCCCACCTGCCAGAAACCCCCTGGATCTCCCCCAACCCTGCCCGGCCCCCACAGACGTCCCTCCCCACGAGCAACATTGGGGTGATCATGCCCACCTTGGCCACACCCACCCAATCTGCCATGACCACCACAGCCACGCCCACCCAGTGGGCCACACCCACCTGGACCAGGCGATAAATAAGTGGGTTTTGGGTTGCAGTTTGGGCACTCGGACTCTAAAAGGTTCGCCATCACTGCCCTAGTGCCATCAGTCCTCACAGACCTTCAAAGTGCTTTTTTTGTAAAAAAAAAAAAAAGGTGCCGGAACCCACATATGTCATACAACCTGCCTTGCCTACCCTATAAGGTTCCATCCAAAAAAGGTGCCGGAACTCCGTTCTGGGCGTTCTATGACAAAAAAAGCCCTGGACCTTCAATATCAAGTTCTGGCATCAGTCTGGCTATCTGTCAAACCTATACCCTCAGCCCAGCCCTTCTCCACCAAATAGAAAGCTTAAAGTGGATGTAATTTTTACTAGCAGAGAAATCCATTAATCACATTACCATAGCCTGTCAATCTCCTAGAATGGCAGTACTGATCCTCTTCCATAATGAGGCAGATTAGAGACTGTCTATGAAGGCAGAGGAAATTTATATATTATGTGCCATCTCAGAGGTGGAAGGCAGCATGCTAAACAAGCTGCCTGGGTGTACCTTTGGTCACCAACACGTTAAAATGTCCTGCACTGGGCATTTAGGGCATAATAAGTAAATGTGCTTTGTGCTTCATTGCTGCTACTGTACATGGTTTTCACTCCAGGGGTGCATGGATTTTGTTTCTGCTATTGTTTTGTTGCAAATGTTCATAACTGTGTATAATAAGCCAAGTTTAAAAATGAAGAATATTATTTTATTAAATTAGAAATGCAACAGGATGTTTCAGCTTCTCCATTTGATCAGTTCAGATATTTTTTTCCTCCACAGAAATGCTGAGGTTTTGGGTTTTCAGCCAGGAAGCAATACTGGAAATATCTAGCTTAACAAAATTAGATGCATGGTAAAATTATAACCAAATATTTCCCTGACTTTGCACTGTTACATAAAAGGGACATTCCCTTCCTAGTAACAGAAAAATTAGGCACATCTGAATAAGTTAAAGGGAACTGCTCCCTGATATCTATAGGTAACTAGTCTGCACTTTAATAATTAAATCAATATTACATTTGTACATGTTGTCCTTAAAATGATCGTGTCTTCTCTACTCAGCTATAATAGGACTTAGATGATCTGAAGGTCATTCACTTTCATTTGATTTTTGAAAACCTAAAATCAGACAAATTGCTAAAAATGTCAGAACAAATTCTTTCCAAAGGCCCCTTTAAATTTCTTTAAAATTAAAGAAGAAAACATCATTTTATTAATGGAGAGAAATTGTAAACTGCTTATCCTCAGCTTTCCCTTCATATAGCAGAAATGTTGGCTTCTGCAGAGAATAAGAAGGCACAACAGTGAGGGTAGACTTTAGCCATGGCACCAGCTTCAGTAGGAATAATAGCCTATGCAAGCCATGCATTTTATCTTGCTCTTCCTCTGTTGAAGTCCTGTTGTTGAAGGTGGGTAGGGTGTTGCCATGTTGAGAAACTCTCACAGTAATCAGCGTTTGTCGCATATTCTCCAGTGTATCTTTCCTTTCCTCCTCTATCTCTTCTTGACTCCTCATTCTGTGCCTTTCCTTGTCATTCTGGAGAACATGCAGCCCTTTCATCATGTTTTTTTTTTTCTGACAATGTTTGATGTCATCTCTTAACTGTGACATCCCCCTTGCCTTTCTGTGTGGCATAGTTATACTGACAATATTTTATTTTACATTATTTTATTTTTACTGCAATGCTGTATGGGGCTGTTACCACCTTAGAACAGTTTAGAATCATTGCCAGCTTCTCCACTGAGTTGAGGTTCACAGGACTATGGCTGAGTGGTGCAGTGCAAGCACAAAGGGAGTGGCAGAAAGTGAAAGAATTGGGGAGACTTGCCAGAGCAACTTGTGACCTTCCCTGGTAACCATATGAATCAATGAGAATTTATGAAGCTTCAGTTACATCCAACTTTATGTGTGTAGAGTTGTTAAATGTTGTATTTATATAGGTAAGTAGGTAGGTAGGTAAGTAGGTAGGTAGGTAAGTTGGTTGGTGGTTAGTTGGTTGGTTGCCAGGTACCTTAGATGAGAGACAGAAAAACAAAATTACATAAATTGCACACAAATCATTTTTCTTGGTATTCAGAGCGGTCCTGAGATGGGAATTAAGTATCTGTGCTACTGACAAGACAGTTCCTGCCAGGAATAGCATCATTAGATTTAAACCCACATAAGCACAAATACAGTGTAGATTCTATTAGATTTCCTACATAATTAAAATGTGCTGTAATTGAAATGTAAAAATATCATATATTAAATATTGCAATAAAACAATGCTTGGGTGTCTTGTATCGTATACTTTTTCGTCTTCTTCACTAATTTGTGTTAATCCAGAGTGACAACACATACTCCATACTTATTGCAGAAAAAACAGCACATAGCGAAAGCATTCTTCCAAATATCACTGTACTTTCTGTTGAAAGGGTGGGAGTAAGTAGGTGGGTGGAAGAGACAAGCATACACATCACTTTTCTGTTCCAAATATAACCATTTCTTTTTTCTTCAAAGGTCTATCCAAGCATGCCTCAAATTTTATTCTTCAGATAAATTGTAATAAGCATCTTTCCTTTTTATTGTCCATTTCTCTTTCACTTGGAAAGCATATTTCTGTCAAAAAAATTTCTACTGAGATTCTGATGGGAGGAAACTGACTATTCCATCATTTTGTCCAAGTATGGAATGGGAAATTGGTTGCTAAATATAATAAAAGCAGCATATGAGGGTAGTAAAACCTGAGTGAGAATAAATGCAATGCTTAGCAAATGGTTCCCTGCTCAAGTAAGATAAAAATGTGTGATGTTCCCTGAATTGGTTAAGGAAGGCTGATGGAGATATTAGAAGTGTGTTGGCTAGGATGCAAACAATCTTCCACCATCATTAACAACTAGCGCCATCCATTCAGAACAGAGTGAAACCATTACAAATCACTGCCCCCAACTCCTAACCCTTGTAGGTGATCTAGAAGGATACCAGGGTCCATGGTATCAAATTCATTTGAGATATCTAAAAGCACCAAGAGAGTTCTATTATCCCATCCTATCTTTATAAACCATAAGAGCAACAAAGTACAGCAGTTCCCATTCCACAGTCAGGGATCCCTATCAAAATAGTCAAGATAATCTGACTAAAAGGGAAGGATGATAATTATCTAACACTGTAAGATCAAGAGAAGTGCCCCTTCTTTAAAGCAAAAACTACAACTCTCTCCTTTAAAGAGGCATTAAACACTACTCAAATCCTATCATTTCTCTATCCCCTTCTTACTGTCCAGTGGGGCATGGATCAAGCCCACAGCTGACAGAATTCATGCTGCCTAGGACCCAGTTTCTCAGAGCCCAGAAGGTTAAAAAAAAATCCTAGATAACTTTGCAAGACTGTCTCAGGTGCCTTATTTGCTTGTGCTAATATGGAGTCTAGAATACAGATAGTCCTTGGGTTACAAACCTAATTGGGGCAGGAACTTCCACCACTAAGCAAAGTGATCATTAAGCAAAACATCATGTAGCAGGCAGTTCAGGCATTTCCAGCTGTAGTCATTAGACAAGATCATTCTATTGTTAAGCAAAGATCTATGTTTCTCTGACCTGCACAAACTGCCTGTTTCAACTTTTCTCACCTGTCTATCTCTCCCATCTCTTCCCTTTTGACCACCTGTACTCTGCTACCTCTCACCACCACCCCATTACCACTGCCACTCCAGCTGACCTTTAATAACTTCTTTTTCCTCATGCTGGCCTGGAATTCAGGTTATGGGTAAGATCACGGTCCCAGGATGGGTGCAGCAAGTGCAACAGATTGGTGGACGTTTGTTGTGTCCTGAGCCTGCAAAAGCAGGCTCGGGATGTTGCCTGCAAAAGCTGCCCGGGACCAGACTGAGCAGCGCCAGCCTTGTGTGCATACACAAGGCATGCAAATGCTCTATTACTTTGTTTTGACATTGTCCAGATCTCTGGATACATAAAAAGCCTGCGTGCTTTTGCCTGTTCGTTCGGTTGTTGTTAGAGAAGAATAAAGAGCTGTTTAACATCGCCATGTGTCTTCACAATTCGCACGCGAATGAAGCACTTAACAATGTTCATCTGCCGAAGGGAGCTAAGTTATAAAGAGTTCTCCATGGTCTGCAGACTATTGCTCATCATGCCATCAGCAGAAAACAAGGCTCTATTGCTCATACCACCACCTGGCCTCCTTGCCAGCTCCATCCCACTATCTCCTCTTAGGCTGCAACCAACAAGCTGTCTTCAGCAGACAAGGCTCCCATGTCAACCAGATCAAGAAACATACACTGCAGAAATTCCAGGTGTGCTATTTTATTGTCGTATGGTGGAATAATTTAGAATCTTGAAAACCTGCCCAAATGTCTCTCTGGCATGTCTTATGCTAAACAAAATCAAGACAGTATTTGGGGTTTCTTTCTCCTATTTTCTTCTCTTTCCAAGGGAATATATGTGTACTATTTTCTCCAAGTCACTCTTAATGTTTCACTCTTCTTTTTTCCCCTTAACAGCTCTTTCATACCTAGATTTGCCAGATATCTGTATTGGCAAAGGAGGATACAGACAATTTGAAAGGGAACATAGAAAGGGAAGGACAAAGGAAGAAGACACACTGTTTAACTCTCTTGGCATCTGTGATAAAAATTAGAGAGAAAAGCTGCAAAAAATGTATTAATGCCTACATGTACATAAAGTTACTTTTTCCTGCATTAGGTTTTTCAGTGGCAGGAATGTGCTAGAACCATTAGAAGATAAAATCTTTCCATGTTTAACTGATTACATTCTTGTCAGGTTCAGGCAGCAGCACAAGCAGGTAGAGGGTGCTCACCAAATAAATAAAGTCACAGAGCTGAGATTGTTAACTTGTAGTTAGCATTTACTAGAGAAGCACTTGTGTGGTGGAGGAAAGCTGCTCAGAAAGAAATACACAAAAAGACAGAACATATTTGATGTTAATGCTATCTGGAGAGAAGATATGAGGAGAAAAAGGAAGGTATGTCCTGTTTTGGCCAGTTGTCTGGTAAACCTAGTCATACCACCCTCAAGGTCAGCTTTATATTCTATTACTTTCTGCAATAACATAGATGTCAGAAAATTCTCATATGAGCACCCCAAATCTCACTCTCTTGGCACTGGTCCTTTTTATCCAAGTATGCATTCCCGTTCCACTGGGTAACTTGCAGGTAAAAGAAATTTAACACTTGAATGCTTCTTGTAGATGGAGTACAACTAAAGGGAAAAATAAAAAGAACATTATTGGATCCATGGTTGTTTCATTTATTTAGTACTATAGAAAAGCATTATAGAGTCCTCTTCTTTCTGTGGGTTTATCTGAAGGACACGATAGTATTAGAGAAATGCTAATACTTACTATTTATGCAAAACATTTTGAGCAAACTAATGGTTTCACATACATTGTTATCATACTTTTGGTCCTAAAGTTGTAATGGGAATACATAATTCTCCATTCATGTGCTGGCTGAATTCTAGGAATTGTAGTTCCAACACATTTGGAGGACATCTAGCTGGTAAAAGCTGCTGAGGGCCATCTATTGGCATTAGAGGCAGGCCAGCTGGTCACTACTCTGTAATGTTTTAGTCCCTGAACCCAACCATTCTTCAAGAATAGCTCCTTGTTGTTCACTCCTCTGGTCTTTTAAAGGGAGCCAGCTAATCTGGAATTCCTCTCCAGTCTCCTGCTGCTTCTGGGCAGCTGCAGAGCTCAGCATGAGTTAGGGTTGTGCTGAGACAAGGCAAGCAGGCCACATAACTAGCACTCTTTCTACAAAAGAAGGTAAACACTAGTTTGCTCTCATCAATAAGCCCTGCTTTGTTTCTTTCTCCCACAAAATCTCAAAGAGGCTTTTCTTTCTGTTCTCAACAGGAGGAACCAGTTTAGCAGGAGACTGAAACCAGCTTTGTACATATACTCTGGAACTGAAATTTCTCTTATTTATAAACTTTTCTTACAACAGGAGAACAACTAGGTGATTTCCAAGATAGCTTCACTTCTGGATCCTCCTCCTCTTCCTTCTCCTCACTTGGACATTCGTTTTGATCATGATATAGGGATTTGCATGGATTTTTAAAAATCTATTCTACTAAATAATGGAATTGTTATTTTTTTGTGTCAAATCAGCTACTTTTTAGAAAAAGCAGTTGTTTTAATTCAAGGTTACATTAAGTCCTCACATGTCTATGCTCCTCTAATCTGAGCATCATCTCACAAACAATTAACTTGGTTTAATAAATCACTCCCTACTAACTAAACATTAATCCTTCATGCTCCATTTGTACCACTTTACTTGTCCATTTATCCACATCCCATTTTCCAGCTACCATTAACTTCACATGACAAAAGCCTATTTCATCATGCTGTATCTTGTAGTTATTACAAGAGACTAGCTGAAGAAATTAAGCAGATATATGACTATAATGCATAATCATTTTGGCAAAACTGAAACTGCTGTATTCTTCTTACTTTAAAACATCTTTAATACAAAAAATATCAAAACGATCAAAGAGGAAAAAAGCTGTGGTTATGAACAATTGTTACCACTTTAACTTGAATTAAGTAATTTTAGGACCTACTCAAATATGGTTATAAACAATACTTATAAAATGTATGTTTGCTTTGAAAGTTAGGTGTTTCTAGATAAGGCTTTTCTGCACAATTCACAGGATTTTAGAGATTTTTTTCCAGTTGTTATCCTCCTGTGTTTTACTCCTTTACCTGCAATTTACTTGCCAGAGATAATCAGTGAAGAAGGAAAAGATGAGATAGTTGTAGAAAATACTTTGGGTAGTAGCTCTTGAAAGACCATGGATTGTAGGATAAATATTTATCTATTTTATTGATGGGTCACCTCAATCCATACAATTCCTGGGCAGGGAACAGTAGTTGAAAATATAATAAACTTTTTAGAAATCTATTAAAATAAAAATACACAACTATGATAGCCCCTGAAAAAAAGCCACCAAAAGCTTGTTTTAACTTACTTTGGGGGAAAGATGTTTGGGAATAACAGAATAACAGAGTTAGAAGGGAGAGGGCTTCATAAAGTGGAGGAACCATTGAGAAGGCCTGTTGCTTGGACCATATCCCACATGCCTTGTGGGAATGTATAAGCCTCAACATCTTCTTGAGATGTTATAACTAGATGGAAATATTATATTTTGGTTGGGTTTGAAGGGCATTAGGGATAATAATCAGCATTCTACTTACGTTTGATTGAATTCTTTGCAGCACTTATATGTATCCTACTATGGATGTTTTAGGTATACACCATCAAGAATGATATAATTGTGGCAGTATAAATTTCTGTTTAAAAATACATAGGTATTCAAAATAAGCATAAGGAAGGAAGGAAAAGTGGGTGGAGCCTAGTAGCAACTTTTCTAACTAACACATTGTATCAAAAGGCATAAGCTTTTAGACAGATATATAGGTATTGATCATTTATAGATTCATAACTAGCTATTTTATGCAACTTAGGAAGTGAGCTGCAGTTCCCAAAATCTTGTGTCTTTTAATAAAATTATTCAGAAAAGAAAGTACCAGATTCAACTCTTTTTTTTTGCCATTATACAGTAACATGGCTCTCCTCCTAGTATGTCCACAAGAGACTCTATTTTTTTCTCTGTTGTTACTCAACAAACATTGCCCTAGCAATGTATCAACAGAGATGCTCAACAAACATTTGTTAAGGCAGATACTCAACAAACATTGCCCTAGCAAAAGATTGAAAGACTAAACTGCTGGTCCCGGTGACCGACCCAGATTGGCTCCTGAAACATTGCCCTAAATCATTTAAAGTTGACTCCATTCCACTATTAACAGATTATATACAAAGTGTACTGTATCCCAGCATGTTCAAATTAAGTCCCAGTGACAAGTATTTAGTCTACCTGATATATAAAAATGACTTACAGACTCATGTTGATTTGCTAAGTACATTACTTCAGAGAAATGCAGACCATGATTTCTCCTTCAACTTGCTGGGTTGGCAGAGGTGAGGAATGTGCAGTGAACTCTAGTGGCCTGCCAGGGCTGACAACTGGGCACTTAGCTCAGCATTTAAAGTAGGGAATTTACTCAGTCTGCCACCAGGCAACCCTGAGAGGCCAGTCAGAGGATGGTAATTATATAAGGCTCAAACATAGAAGATGTCTGATTAGCAAGACAAAATAGGGGTTCCTTTGTTTATTTTAAATTATGTAACTTGCATCTGAGGTTAATATTATGGTGTTTGTGTAATTTCAAGCCTCAACATCGTAGAAAATCAAACATTTGCCACAGCTTACTAAGCCACAAAAAAGAGATTTCAAACGGCGCAGTGTTGGGATTTGTTATTAGCCTTGGTAATATTAATAAACAATCATCCTTATATTACTTTATTTTTTAAATTCTAGCATATTATTACAATTACAAGTTACAATTAGTGACAGTAATAGTCATATCAGTCTTGCCTTCAGGAACTCCAAAACTCTTACGATTCAAAGGACTTCAAGAACATGTCAACTTTTAAGAGCTTCCAGAAGGCTGAAGGGTAGGTTCTATCCCTTGTCTTTAGGAAAAGCTATTCCAGATGAGAGGAGATCCCACAGTGAATATCCACTTCCAGGGAACTGCCATTGTATCTCCTGATAGATACGGACCTTTGGCAGGCTTATTTCACGCTCTCAAATTCAGCAGATAAAGCCTCAAAGATACCCAGGCCCCAAAACAAATAGAGTCTTATAGGTGAAAACTAGTACCTTGCATGCACTCATCAGTAGCCAATGCAGCTCCCATAGCAGTGGTGTTCCACGACAGTATTAAGAATGTATAGTGGCCATCTGTGCATATATGTAGGCATACTGCAGCAATTATGTAGTATTAAAAAGTAGCCTCCTATAATTAAATTACATTAATCTAATATATATAGACGATGACAAGGGTGAAAATTTTTAATGCCTCCTGTTCTAAGTAAGGCTGCAACTTCAGTTGGTCTTCCTGTCCTTCATTTGTTATGCCAACAAAGTCTGGGAAGATGCCTGACTTGCTTTCTACAACGAAGCATAAACCTGTTCATAGTCAAATATGATATAATCCCAGAATCAGTGGGCTTCTAAATAACTTGTTACAGATGAATCTAAGCCTGTTCCAATCCATTTAGACTTGTGAAGATTGTCAGTCTTTAGACTGGGTCAAAATTTTCACCACATAGCCCATTCTGGGTATATACAACTGGTTATTATCCACATGTTGAGGACATTTCAACCCAAAACAGTAAATGGCCTCCTCCAGTTGTTTCATTTGAAAATAAACAGGCTAAGGGTTGAATACTGAGATTACTGAGCCCTCAGACACCCAATAAAGAATTCCATGAGGGCCCGACTTCTCCCTCACTGTGACAACTGATTCAACCCTCCCATTCAGGAAAGAACAGAATCATCAGAATACTGTGCTTCCAATTCCCAGCCCTCATCTGATACCATCATGTCACTAGCAAAAGCTGCAAACATCTAACAAGGCAAGAATTTGCTATGCTCTCTTTCATCCAAGTCTTGCCATAAATTACCCATGAGCGACACATATGTGATTTCTGTCCCATGCCCAGGCCTGAATTCTGACTGCTATGAATCTGGATGCTCTCCTCTGTTTTTTCCAACACTCGCTGAAACTGTTGCCTCATTATCTTTTCCACATCTTTCCTCCAAGACAGGAGATTGGATGTAGAATAATAGTCCAAATATAAGCAGATCTTAATTTTTTTAATGTTTTCAGATGTCTGAATGCCAAAGACATTCAAGCCTGCAGATAAAGCAACTGCTGGCATGATGCCTTCTGAAGAAGCATTTTTTGCTGCCTGAAAATAATTGGACATTAGGACTCTTTCTGGCATGTTTTGAGAGCAATCAGGGAACATTCTACTGTGATGTATTTTTCCTTTTAACTTTTATGGGCAATGAGTGTCCTTTTGAACTCTAGCCTTGAGAATCAATTAACTGACAATGAACCCTTTACAAAAGATCACTTGGGTATCTCCTTGCCAATGGGCAGAATATACAATTAATTATTTACATCAAGAAGTGAACTAATTAATCCCTTTTGAAACAGAAATTAGAACCTTTCTCTCCTTACCAGCTGAAGAAAGTTGGAACAGAAAAAGCAATCAGTCTGTCTAAGTGCTTCTCACATTACTTGTTATATAGCAAATAACCATGAAGTCTATCAAGTTATATTGGGGCTTTAGTTCTCCATTGCTTTTGAATTGTAGCTTCTGCTACATTTGAAATCTATGACAATGAAAAAAAGGTGTGATTTCATAGTGAAGACCTACTGAAATCACCAAAATGTAAGGAATTCTCCAATTATGTATGATTTAGTGGCTATTATTTAGATCAGGGGCCCCCAATCCCCAGTCCCTGGCCCAGTACCGAGTCACACAAATAGCAGGCATTTGTGTGAAACCATCCCCAGAGCCAGAAAGATTGGTGACAGCTGATTTAGATCATTCCAATTTTATTTGACAGCAGCAATCTTTCCTGATAACTTGATTTATAAGATCGCATGAAACTTCTGCCCATTTAGACCTTGGTAGCCAATACCTTTTGAAGTAAATCAATCTAGTCTTTTTAGAGGTCAGGATGTACCCAGGATCAGGTATTTAGGATGAAAAGCAATAAAGTCTTTGGTTAAGATTACATTCCATATGTGAGTGTCACATTAATTTCTACATAGGAAAAATGTTTTATTTCTATGCCTTTTCTTGGCTCAGATGGTTGGATATAACTCCCATTCATCTTCCACTTGCCTTGTTGTATTGCAATATCAGCTAAATTATTTTTGTCGAGAACCCAGAGCAAAATAATCCAGTATGATTCCAGACTGATCACCAAAAGGACCAATGTCACCTTGCAAAGTTGTGTCTAATGCCTAGATCAGTGGTGGCAAATCTATGGCACGCGTGCCAGAGGCGGCACTCAGAGCCCTCTCTGTGGGCATGCGCACCATCGCCCCAGCCCTGCCTCCCCCTGCAGCCCCCTACTCACCAGCAGCCCCCTGGAGGAGAGTCATCCCCGGGCATGGCCCATGTGGAGCAGCGCAGCCAAGGACATGGCAGCCAGGCAGCAGGGACAAGACTGTGCCCTCGTGCCCCATCACGCGCAGTTGATGCTGCGGGACGCAGGTGGAGGGATGGCCGGGCAAGGCAGGGCAGGGCATGGCCGGGCAAGGCAGGGCAGGGGGCAGAGTGGGGGCTGGGTGGGGTGGGGGCGGGTTTGGGCACTCAGTCTTTAAAAGGTTCGCCATCACTGGCCTAGGCAAATCTAACACATTATTATTATGTTATTGTTATATCCAGCATACATATTATATCTGGAATGGCATACTAATTCTTGTACAATTGTCATCCTCATGGGGAACATATTGAGATTTACAGCAGCCAAAGAAAAAGAATATTGAAAGATAGGTTGATGACAAAGCAAAGGGGAAGAAGGACTGTCTCCCTTGTTAAGGAAATGCTGGTCTTGATGAAGCAATAACTATAAAACAGAGGTTACATTATGGGTTTAGAAATGTTTTAAATATTTAGATAGTGATTTACTAAAAACAAACAAAACAGCACTGTAACAATCCCAAACTAGCCAATATTTTTTTGCATTAAAATTCAATGTTAATAATTATTAGCCAGGGTTAGAAAGATCAGTCAAAGAAGATAGCTATTAATTTCAACTTGAGTTCTCAGATATAGGTTATTCATACATAACAGTGCTCCTTAATTCTGTTTAGCTTGCCTTTCCTGTCCTGTTATCAAACAGATAAGACATCCTAATTATATTTTTTAAAGCATTTTTTGAAAAATAAGGACTAAAATATTACCCAAATAAACAGCTGGAATCAGCTTCCCCTTGGTGCTGGTTTGAGAAACATGACAAAGAACCTCCTATCTCAATGGTCAGAATGAATTCAATGCATGGGAATGAACATTACCCAGAGACAGCACAGCTGATGGCCCTCTTGCTTGAATATCCAGACCAGAGGGACTATTTGTTTCACAGCAGAGAAATAAATGGTGACATTTTCCTGGGGCTTTTTATATCAGCTTCACTGAAATTCTGCAACCTCATAGTGTCTCCTTATACTGTATCATTTACAGTACCCACGAGCTTAGCACTCTGACTCATTATTATTAGTTAATGAGCCATCCAGGCACTAAACCTGTAGTATATGGGGTGGATATAAACATTGTATTCAGTATAATTTAGTACCCATTTTCCAGACAAGGAGAGCTATAAGCTGGGTATGCTATAATCATCATGTGAGTGTTCCTGCACTAACAGATGGTATGCAGATCAACTGCCGAACAGCAATTGTGGCCTGCAGTATACAGCATCAGACAGAATACATACATACATGCACACTCTTTATGGTATTTGCTTTTGGAGTGACCAGGATTGTGCAAAGCAAAGAAAAGGAGTGAGAAATCACAGGCAAGCAAAATTAAAAACCTAAGAAAAACAGTATGTAATGCAAGCTGGATTTGTTTGGGAAATCTGCTCAGGTGAATGGTTTACTCACATGGGTTTACCCATCACGTGGATAGTATACTTTGAGAGCTGGAATCAATAGCCTCTCGACTTTAAGGAAAGAAAATCTTCAACATAGCTATTTATCTTTTTACTTTAACAGCACCATTATGCAGCAAGAATGCAGGGGACGAGATTCCTGGTTTTCTTCTAAACTTGTTATTTACACATATGCACACTCACACAGAGAGAAAGAATCATGTGAAAAAGAAAGTACACCCTCTTTGAATTCTATAGTTTTACATGTGAGGACATGGTAAAAATTATCTGATCCTTAGCAGTTCTTAAAAATAGGTAAAAAGTGGATAAAAGAATTCATCAGCCTCAGATGAACAACACATGACATATTACACCATGTCATCATTTATTTTATAAAAACAAAGCCAAAATGAAGAAGCCATGTATGAAAAACCTATGATTCAATAGCTTGTGCAACCACCTTTACAAATAGAAATAGAATTCTT